GGGGGGCCCCCCCAAATTAAACAAGTGCTAGGATTAACGAAGGAGGGTAATCTGCAGAATTCTTGCGTTCCAAGAGATGAGTAAGTCTGTAGGGTTGGTGGAAATTTCTCCTTGCGGTATGGAGTGTTCTTTGGGGACCTCGCACCTGCGGTTACCGTAGGCTTGAGGCTGCAGTCCGCCTTGAACACAAAATGTTGGGGGTGACTGTACTCCTTAAACACTAGCTGCATCTGGACACTTCTCTCAATGTCCCGGACGCGAGTGTAGATGCGCTCTCGGCCAGCTTTTACGACTGCCTGGACTGGGTCTTGCGGTGTAGCGGCTTTCAGCTTTGGGATTTAAGAGCTTTGGGTTCGGTTTATGGCGAGTCACTCTGCAACTCTGAGGGCTCGGAAGCCTTATCGAGAGCTTCAGGGCAGGCTTCTCCTTCGCGTAAACAGGAAAGGAAGCCTGATAAGTTGCATACGGGTAGGTGGCTTCGTTGCACTAGAAATGCCAAGCTACACTACACTTTGCGGCCATAACAATTTGCCTTGTTTTGACAATGACTGCACTTGCAACTTAAAGCCCGAGACTCTTAAAGCCCAAACGCCTCAGCAAAAGAAGGTTCGAAACATACCCTGAACTCTGAACCCTAACCTGTTCAATCTAAACTGCTGCCAGGCACTACACCTGGAGCTTGATCACCTCATGGGGCTTTGAGTTGTGGATTTGGAGGTTGTGTGTCAGTGTTGCGCAGCTTCTTCGTTGATGGACAGTATTGCTTTGGGGTCAGGAAGCCCCTGCCTTCAGAGGCTCCTTTCGGAGTATTTTGTACGACTTTCAAAGAAAACTTTTAACAAGCTGAAATTGGAGGAACACGTGGCGCTGCTCCTCGGCGATAGTTCAAAATGCCCTGTATGAAGTGCCTTTGACCAAACGCCTTGTGCCCCGGGATGAGTATGGCGGAACCCAACTAGAGATTGTACATCCAACACGCGACCCGCGTTCTTTTAGGAACCATGGGCCCCATAGAACCCCCCCCCCTCCCCGACCCCCCAAACAAAAAAGAAAAGAGGGGACACATTTCAAGAAATGCCGGAGTCACATGCTCCAAGGCAGCCTGAAGCCTGTACTCTGCAGTTCCGCAGGCCTGCAGCCAATTCCTGTGGGAGCTCCAAAGATTAAGATAGGTACCACCCTCCGCCGCATAATAATCGTACGGGTCATATGCTCTCTTCCCCAATAACCAGGGCTGAAAAAGTTAAACTTTATTGCAGAGACCCAAGAAGGAAGCCCAAAAGGCAAAAAGCTCTTCTATTGGCTAAGTAAGTATGCGATACCCTTTTGGGAAGCGAAGGGGGAGTATAATCTTAAATGTTACTGCAGTTAGACGATTTGGGGTTTGTCAGAATTACCGGGTGGGGACAATACCAAAATTTAGAGCTTGAAGAGTTTAGGGTTTGGTGCTTTAGATGAATTCAAGATAGGTGTACATTCAGGCCTTTCGGGCTAAGGGTTGGCCTGAGGTTTAGGGTTCTCCGATTCCTTGCTTTGCAGGTTTTAGCTTAGAGGGAGTACTCTGCAGGGCCGAGGCTGTTTGCAGGCTTCAAGGTTAAAATATTGAAGGCGCCCTGTTCTAAAACCTATGATTTAAACCTATGATTTTGTCTTTCAATGTTCCAAGGCTGTTCGCTTTCGGACCGACCCTTGAGCACCTCGATCTCCAACAATACAGCTTCAGATCCGGCACGGCGGCAAGAACTGGCTTGGCATACCAGAATCTCGGTACCGGCCGACATGGACATGGAGTGCTTTAAGCCCATGAACCTTGAAGGAATAACTCCAGTCTTGATCCTACTAAACCAGCATGTCACAATGACTAGAATTGCGGTCTTCACTGCTGCTGCTAACATTACTGTTTTTGCGCTGTCCTTCGTAGGGTTACCTCCCTTGATTTCAAGCTTTTGGGCTGACTTAGGGTCTCTGATCTTTTGTGTAAAGTGCTGGCTAAACGGCTAAACCAAAACTTTGAGATTATGAAGCTTGAAAACTAAACTCCTCCGCGTTCAGACATGAATAGTTCAAGCTTTCAAACGCTCCAAAAAACCCTACTTATCCTGTGTCAAACAGTCCAGAAAGCAGAAGCACCAAGATCTCAACATCTCGAAGCTGAGGAGCTTCAAATCTTACAGCTCCACTCAAGAACTATTGTTCAGTTTGCCGAACCCTCAACAATTGCAGTAAGAACGAGTTAGTGCATTGAATATTGGGGCCCTCTTAAACATTTCGGGGCGATCTCGCATGTCAATGTCCAACACTTTTGGGGGCCTGGATCTTCTCGACAGAAGCCTTGTGCTTCAAAGCTTTAAGGCTTGGATGTCGAAACTCAAGAGCTCCAAATTCGAAAGCTCACTATTCGTAATGGCATAATAATAACTACTACTCACCAGGGTAGGAATACTAATCTACTAACACTGATCACCCCACATCAAGTTGTTTGGAGCTTTTGGTTATACAGGGTCACCTCCAACAACTGTGGGGGGCAAATGCTGAAGGCATCCCAACACTAATACTAACCTCGAACCTAAACTTATTAAACCCTCATACACAGTGGAAAGGGCAATGCAAACGAGGCTGCACGCCTGCAGAGCCAAAGGTCGGCGACACGGCAAGGACACGGCAATGACTCCGCAGAGGTCTATAGGTCCGGCGTGCTTTTAAGATTGACACCCACGAGCTTTGTCAGCATCATCAGGAGCCCCCAGAAGGGGTAAGTGCACGTTCGCATATACAATGATCAATGATCTGCAAAGTCTTCATTCCGTGGCTTAGTAATGAGCACAGCCACTGGAGAGGAGCCCTCCTGGTAATTGCTTTACTTGAAAGACCTGGAGCTAAATCTTGGGTTTAGAAACTACGAACCGCCCTTCAACCGCCCTGGAAAGAGGTTCACGCTCCACATTACTGAGTCTCAAGATCAACAGCCATGGGATTACGCTTTCACGATACTGCCAGTCGTATTAGAAGCAGCGCTTGGTTGCCTAGCTGGACAGAAGTCATTTCAACTCTTGTTTAGATCCTTCCGTAACCGGAAGACTCTCACGACTCAACCCCATGCGAAACACAACTTATGAGTAAGTGCAGCACACCACACGGGAGATTTCGTCTGCCAAGCACAAGGCACCTGATACGCGGCGAGGCAATCAAAAGTCAATGGTCCTTCATGAAGAGTTTCTCATGAAAACCAACCATTTTGCTCAGGATTGTTTTTGAGATATGCATGTTGTGTAGCTACAGACACAGAGATTTGGGGTGGAGGCTCCTGCTGGCTAGAGACTCCAACGTGCAAACAAACTCTGGTTGGCGATGCATGGTGGGGGCAGCAGTACAGGGCGGGGACAGATCTCAACCTTGGACCGCCATATGCGGAAATCAGCCCCCCAAACCCCACAATAGTCTATGCGCTGTGCTGAGGCTGTGAAGTCCTTGCCCCGATGTACACTTGTGCGTTTCG